GGGTTTAGTTGGGCTTCCTCACCGTGTGGAACAATCAGATGTCTGATTTAAATAATAGCAATATATATTGACGCCTGTGAACCGATCCTCAAGAGTTTATTTCTTAAAAGTGTTTGTTTTTAACTTTTTATTTCATGACCGAGAGATTGCTTTTGGAGCTTGCTTTATTTTTTCACTATTGATGAAATGAAAGCGTGAATTGGTTGATGGAAGCCTTTCATTAGTAAAAGTTTTCTCCTTTAAGATTTATGTTCCAGAATTGATTCAGAGACTGCCCCCCTACACCGATAATTGCAGACACACGTTGTCGAGGCATGGAACTGGACCAGGTTTATTATGATTACCTGACAACAAACAACTTTGCATCCATAGTCTGCTATCATTGTTCAATATCGATCTCGTCGGGATCCATCACTTTGAGTAAAAGATCAAGCTCCCTGAAAAAAAAACAAATTAGAAAAAATAAAAAATAAAAATGAGGCGCTGTTGCAGCTATTTCAAAGGGGAAAAAGGGTTGAAGCACATACATGAAGTCGACTCGTACTAAGCACAGACGAAAAACTTTGGGGAGGGCCGTGGGTCTTAATTTACTTTCTTATTCTCTATGTAAAAAAATACTGATTAGTTTTGATCATCATGTCAAGAGAGGGGGCTATTGAATTTTTAAAAAACCTTTTTACATTTTTCTAGAGGGCGCCATACTCAAATTGCACGCCGTTCAATGGAACCACGGGGGCGCTGTTGCCAATAAGTTGACGTTGGCAACTACAAGCCCACAGAGGGCGCTATATAAAATTTGCCACCTCACAATTTCATTCTAAAGAGGGCGCCACTCACTTCGCCAACAGAGGGCGCTAAATATTGATTCAACAGAGGGCGCTTTATTTTTATTCAATAGAGGGCGCTAAATATTGGTAAATGTTGCGGCGGCATGCCCAAAATGGGAAAGCGGGACACGATAAAACGTGTGGTCATCATGGTCATGAAGGCTGGAAAACATTTGTTGCCATGAAGGTAGGTTAAGTCCCATAATTGCAAATCCAGATAAAAAGGTTATTTATGGGATCATGCAAAGACATTCCTCTTCATGTTGTATCGTACACGTGAGATGAAGTTGTAGTTTTCTTGGACGGGTTAGGTACATGTACGTGTGGCCTTACGTACATGGGTCTTGCTCTTTTAGTTGTACATGTAGTGCATTTATGCATGATGCAGTGACATGAAGGCCCAGCATGCTTGGCCTAATCTGTTTCCTTGTGCTCTAACATAATGGTTATGGTATATAGGTACATATATGTAGCCGACATACATGTGTATGTTCGTTATTTTGTGTGACTTGCTGCCATTTTTGTTTACATACATGTAGGGTTGTAATGCTCAGTTCCTTGGTGCTCATTTTCAATGCGCTGCTGAACCACGCACATGTAGCCTGTCCATACATAAAAACCCAAAAACAAATCGGTGTTCATTTCTAGTTTTTCTACCACAACCCAGAAATCTGTCAAACATTTGCTTCCTCAATTGAGCATAATGAACTGCACATTCCTTTTGAAAAATCTTTGTAAGTTGGCAAAATTCATTGATTTAACTCTGTCATGTTGTAGTTCAACATTAGAGTTTCATCTTGTTTTGTTGTAATTTTGCATGTAAATTCACCGTTTATGCTCTCTTTCTACTCAACTTCCCAACTTCAACCTGCCGTAACTCAGGCTAGCGCCACCATTTGTTCTTCTCAAGTGCAGGGTAGTTTCTTCTATTCATTAGCAAACTGACCATGTAAAAGTTATTTTAGTTGGCCACCTTTTCACCCTGTCTATGGAAACACAGTTTTGCTTCCAATGAAATTACAGTTGATTGTGCATTCAACCATCGGTTTCCACATGTACATGTACGTGTGCATGGCGTACATGTACGTATACCGCATGTGCGTGCATGTGGCAGCCATGTTACATTGAGACAGGATTTGCGAGTGCATGGGAAAACTTGTACATGTGG